ACCTCCTTCCAGATCCCTACATAACCTCCACCCATAACTATCAACTGATTCTGTGCCACAGACCCAATATTTTTCACACAATTATGCAGTCACTGTCTTGGTGTACAAATGGCAACCCTGGCATATCTTGTGATATTTAAGGTTTTCGTAGTTTAAGTATCAAGATGGCTTTCTGCTGAGTTGTAGCATTGGCAGTCTGGTAGAAGTTTACCAACATTTCAGAGGAGCTTGTTGCTTGCTGTGGTGGTAGCAGAAAGGTTAGTCAAACAAAAACATTTTCCAGTCCCTGATATGCAAATTTTCTCTTTATGTACACAGCATCACCCAGTTTATCTGTTTCACAAATATGGGTGTTGAAGCCACATGCAAACCTAACCCACCAAAAAACTCTTACTTACTTCCTTCTTGAGTGATGTGGACAGTTCCACAAGCATTGTGACATGAATAAAATTCCACAAACTAAACATTACATTATAATTATTATTAAAAAATGCGCTGTTTATACTATGCACCAATGTTTTGACGTATTATTGTTTCATTATTACTAGTACGAAAATTCTTTAAATCACGACAGTTTTTTGATTCTTTGTGAACGTTTTTCCATTGAACATTCTTTTTTTGAACACCTTCATTTCGATACAAACACGTCCAAAAGCATAATTAAACTTTCGCAACAGGAAACAAACAGCATTTCATTCCAAAACTAACCCATCCACGAAAGTCACGGCCAGTGACATCTAGTTCCATCTGCAAAACACAGCTTGAACTAAAATATGAAAAACTTCACCACCAATATACCGCCAAATTCAAATCACAAATTTTGGTACACAACATTGAAAATACATCTTCATTGCACCCAACATAAGTATGATGTCGGTGTATTTAAAAGTCAAACTTCACTTCAAAATACGGACTGTTCTTTTAGAAACTTCAAATAACATGAAGATGACAGAACAGAAGTTATCTTAATACTTGCAACAACCACCTCAAAGTTTAAGAAAAAGTAGTTTCTAGTAACACCACATTTAAAGACGTATCACTTTGACCAAAGTTTCTTGTACTAAGAGTGTGCAAATGTATCTTATTTTATCAATTGTTGATGAACCACAGTTATGAAGATACGCGATTTAAGACTGTCAGGTTTAATGGCAGGTTTTTGTGGTAAATGAGTTTTAATTCATGGTTTAACATCACTTTCAATTACTATGATTATAAAGCACTAAATGATGGGATGATCAGTATAAGTAAAGCTGTCCCACTATACGCCATGTAGGCGCTTGGGGGGAGTGGCGGTACAGCTCCTACTCATTCTTGACGTCGGCACTAGATGGGGGTGAGTGGTCAGCATCACGTCCCGGCCTCGCTTTACCTCTGGGAAAGGATCCCGGTACCCATTGCAGAAGAGGCTGGGTGGACCCCAGAGCAGGCCTGGACACAGAGGCTAGAGGAAAAGTACTATACTCCCTGTCCGGGATCGAACCGCAGTCCATAGCCAGTCACTATACTAAGATGATTAGTGAATTGGAAAGAATATGGAAGAAACCAGTGATGGCTTAATTGAAAGCACATTCCTGGAATTTGTCTGCAGGGACTGAGGAACCCTTAACTTCCATCAGGAGAGTTGAAAT